GAATAGATGATAGATATGTAGATAGAGAGATTTATAAATAGATATTCTGTGGAACTCTCATTTAGGGGAGAGGTCTGGGAGGATTATTTTCTTAGCACTTGGCCAAAAGAAAGTTCCATAGCAATTTCTCAAGATCTCATCCAGAACACGTAAGTTAAATAATATTTTCATTTACTCTTGCTCCTGGGACTAAAGAGGTCTTAATTTCAAGCTACTATTTCTTAGGCAATACAGGGACCTATCAATGCCACTATTCAGTTTTGATGAGATTCATTTGCAGAAATGCTCTGTCCTGAGTCTCAGTATCTAGGATTATAGACTGTAATAAGGAAGAGTTACTAACTTAACACTCAGAACTTTTCTGTTGTGCTATGGGTGAAAGGTTTACTTTTGTAAAAGAGCTTGTCCCTTGATCTGAATCTATTCCGGGCTGAATGAAGTTTCTGTTTGAAGATAGACACAGAGCTGAATAGAAAGTCGGTTATTTAGGTGACTGTATATCATTCTTCATGTATTCATATCTTTTTGAGTTTTCTGCACTTATTACAACATGACTTTTTTTTTAACGTAAGAGCATCATCTGTTACAACATGACTTTTTTTTAACCTAAGAGCATCATCTTTTTTGTATTGGCCTCAAACTTAAGATGAAACTTTTGTAATCTTTTAGATGCACCTTCCCAAGGAACTTTTGTAAATATACAGGTAAATAAGGTTGGCTTTATTTACTTAAAAATAACATCTTAGAGACATGAAGATGCTAATGTTCATGGTGAATCTTTTACAGGACTAGGAAATAAGTAGAGTTTTCCAGCTATGAAAACTTTTTGTTCATTGGAAACTCACTGTAACAACTGCTGAAATCTCAAGGGAAAGTACAGAAAGTGGTCACCATTTGCTGTGATTGCTCTGTCCCACCCAGGAACTGGTGCAAAAGAAAACCAAATTTCATTAAACTCTGCTTTTACCCTTCTTTAAAAAACTTAATGAATTTGTGTAAATTTCATACAATATATTTTGATCATATT